TGGCGGCCGGGTGGCCAGAAGTGACCACCCCTGCTCCGGCAACATCCCTGGTCCTGCACTCGTCATGTCCCGAAGGTGCAAATTGAGTATCCCAGGCTTAAACCTAATGATCCGGTAAATTCTCCGAGATCAATTTACCAGTGAGACCAGCAGAAGCCCTTGTAGTGGACTTTTGTTATTTTAATCTCGTTCTTTCAATGTGTCATATTCCGATTGTTAAATAAATCATATTTTGCTCTGGATAAGCTGTTTCATCACTGCTTGTGAAACAGCGAGGGGGGATTTGATAGCAGCCTTCGACTTCCTGAAGGGAGGTTCCAAAGAGGATGGAGAGGGGCTGTTCTCAGTAGTGACAGATGGCAGAACAAGGAGCAATGGTCTCAAGTTGTGGTGGGAAAGGTCCAGGTTGGATATTAGGAAAAACTATTTCACTAGGAGGGTGGTGAAGCACTGGAATGAGTTACCTAGGGAAGTAGTGGAGTCTCCATCCCTAGAGGTGTTTGTCCCAGCTTGACAAAGCCCTGGCTGGGTTGATTTAGTTGGAATTGGTCCTGCCTAGAGCAGGGGGCTGGACTTTATGGCCTTCTGAGGTCTCTTCTAGTTCTATGATTCTATGCTTTCACCCATGGGTCACAGCTCTCAGAGAACATCCCATAGCAGTTACTAGGGATACGGAAATGTAACTTTGTACATGGTTAACTCAGTGAGTCCAGGTTACATGCGGTGCTGTATGGGGAACTGGTTCTCAGAGTGCTGGCAGCTTCCCTTCCCTCCCCTCCATGCCCATGCCTAACTATGCCTATGCCTTTGATACAGAGGCAACAACACAGAGCTTGGGGGAGGGAGGCAGGAGACAATATGCCCATAGCTGGCTCCCTGCACACACTGGCTCCCAGGGAGCTGTGTCCCCCACCCCCACTTGCATCTACATGCATCTGATGAAGTGGGCCTTTGCCCATGAAAGCTTATGCTCCAATACATCTGTTAGTCTATAAGGTGCTACAGAATTCCTTGTTGCTTTTGCAGATCCAGATTAACATGGCTACCCCTCTGATACTTGCTGCTCCCACTTGTAACTGCTGAAATTCCCAGCAGTTACGTTGTTACTTAATTAAACACATTTTAACACCCCAAGGTGAGGGACCAAATCCTGTTGGATCCGTTCTGATGAGGTTGGTGAAACAAGAGCTGCTGTAACCTCATAGATCAAAAAGTGAGATGAATTGTGGGACTCACTCTGAGTTAAGTGCAGATTGAGGGCCATCTCGTGGAAGTACCACATATTGACTGATAGAGTTTCTTAGAAAAGTGTTAATACTCATTTTTGTTGCTTTTTACAGAAGGATAAAACAATTTCACTTTTTAATATGGAGAAAATAAAAGTTTTAAAACGTTTATATGTTGGAGGACTTGGCCATACAGTTTCCGAAGCTGAACTGCAGGAAAGATTCAGCAAGTTTGGAAATGTTACTGATGTGGAAATTGTTATTCGAAAAGATGAACAAGGTAATATTTTCATTTCATTCTTTTCTGTACTTCAACTGGTAATGAAAACAGCTTTCATTTCAAAACAACTATTTTCTCTTAACACGTGCTTCAATTTTAAAAACAAGAAACAATTGTATATACAAAAGTAACCAAGTGCTTCTCGTTATTGACCAGGGAACCCTATGAAAACATTTGCTTATATCAGCATCAGCATTTCAGAAGTAGATCTCAAAAGATGTAAGTACACAAGTAATATTATTGGGTGAAGTTTATTTTAATTTTATGTAAGCTAAGGATGTAACAAATACCTGAGCCTGCACTTATCTGTTCAAACCCCCATTGAAGTGGAGAACTTAGCTATTTTGTTCTTCATCTACACCTTTTAATTTCCCTCTCCCATTCTTTAATTCTATTTGGTTCATTTATTTTAGGAATCAGTGCTTATGGAAAATGCTCTCCAAAATAATGTATTTTATTCAAGTATTTGTGTTTTTATGTTATTTTAAACAATTAAGAATGAATCTTAAAACTCTGTGCTTCCCATAATCTCTTTACGTAAAATCAGGATTCGCCCAATATTGCCAATATGATTGCCACTATTTTTAGGATATGTTGGGAAGGACGGGAAGAAAGTGCGAAAGGACTAGATAGAATGGTGGAGAGAACTTCAGAATGTAGATGCATCTGAGTTTTGGAATCCTGATTTGGAATGAGCTATTTAATCTTTCAGTGTTCATTTATCACTGGCTAATGTATAGGCAGTCCCCGATTTACGCGGATCCGACACTTACGAACGGGGCTTTCTCGCCCCGGAGGTCGAGGTAGCGGATTGCTACCTGCGAGCTCCGGGGCGAGAGAGCCCCGTTCGTAAGCTGCTCCGGTGCCCCTAGTCTGCTGGAGACCGTCCCCAGCAGACCACAGGCACCGGGACTCAAGCCGCAGCCGCGGGGGGGTTCCGCGCCTCTGAGACTTTGCTTCCCGGAATCAGCGCTGATCAGTTTCAGCAGC